AAATGCCCAGCTCTACGTGGAATCTAAGTGCCACCTCCACTGTCACATTTGCCACATCAGCCAATTACCACGTCATTTCCCCCCAAAATGTTAAAAAAAAAAAAAAAAAAAAATTTCAAACCCAAAATTTCGAATAAAACTTCTTCTCACAACAAAATACTTCAAAATCCCAAAAATACAAACCCAAACAATTTCTCCCCAAACTTCCATTCAATCTTGAAACCCCCTGGCCAGGTCGCCGCCGTCCACCATCCCAAACGGGTTTCACTTCAAATATTCCTCCTCCACCACGTCGGCCAATCTCAGCCGCGGCCACCGACAAATGCAGCTGTTCCACCGCACCACCACCGCAACGAGTGTCAGTCGAGCCGCACCAGGTCGCCGACCGTCCACCCCGCCACCACTTTTCAAAGGTAGAAAATCCAAAAACAGATTAAAAACACCAAACACCGATGATGAATCGTGTTGAAAAGTTGTAAATTCCAAAAGAGTTGGAAGATTTTAACGAGATTTGTATATGAAATGTGAAAGGATACGTAGCATGACATTAGTAAGATTATGTTGATGCTTCTCAGTTTTAGAAGTTATATATACATTTTATTTGAAATTATAGCTTCTCTTTGTAATGGGTTTTGACCAGAAAATTCTTACACTTGTTATGGTTGAAGAGAGTTTCAAATTATCACTTGTGTACTTGAGTTGTGTTTTTGTTTCTATGTTATAGTGATTGTTTCTTCTTCTGATATAGATTTATGTCATTTTTCTGGCTTTTAATCACCTTAGATTCAAATCCAACTTCTATGGAGCACCTGAGCTTTTCAAAAGTGTTGGTTCTCTTAGTTAATAAAACTCAGATTCTGATTCACCGGAAGGGAAAGATAGAGCTTTTCACGAAAGAAAAGTGTTGGTTCTCTTAGTAGTTCTAGTTTGATTCCGACATTCCTTATCCAATTCTGAAATAAAACAGTCAGTGGCCCTGCACTATGATACTGATAAAATTATGAGCGGGGGCTACCTCTAGGTTTAATTAATCAACTAAAATAATCTGTCTTTAGACCTAATTAATTAGATATGGGGGATTGGTCAATTTATTTTTGGTTTCCTTTTGAAAAGCACTTCTCTTTCAATCTTTTATTTTCTGATAATAATAGTAGTTGTGAACCAATTTACTGGATGACATATTTGATGCCATGAACCTATTAAGATGGGATGACAACAATCTTAATTGAATTTCCTATTTGGACAAGCTTAGACTGCATAGAAGTGTAGGAAGCATCACCAAGAAGCTAATCCATTCAAGTTGTCTAGGTAATTATAGTATTTCTCTTGCTTTTAGTAGTCTTGAATGAGTTGGAATAAGACCCGTCAAGAGTTAGAAATTTGTTAAATAGTAGGACTCCATGTATTAAGTCAGGTACAAGTCCTTCATGTTATGGGTTGATGTGAGGTGAGGGATTTGACAAATACTTAGATCCTTCTTCAGGACTGTTTTTTTTTTTTTTTTTTTTGGTCGAAACATTGTTGCTTTAAGTATTTGACATTTCGAGTTTGTTTCGTTCATGTCTAGAAGACTTCACTGAACATGTCTTTTCATTTGCTAGGATTACAGTGAAATGTCTGTCAGTTACAGGCCATTTCCTGCAGATGCAAATTTTTTATCGAAATAAGGTGTCAAGTGTCAACCCAGTGCAGGTAACGTAGTTCTACTATACTTTTGAAATTCTGTTTGTTAACTAGTTCATCTGAAGTCAATGAATGATTCTGAGTGAGGTTGTAAATCTTCAGCAGGAGAAACCATTGGAAGAGGACGGCCAGGATATGGAGGTCACTATCAATACTGGCAAGGAGGATGCAAGCAGGCGCGATTTGATAAAAGATGCCATGAAAAATAAACCACATATACATCAGAGGAGAGTGCTGATACTGATCAAAACAGCCAGTTTATCACTTTATATTTCTTTTTCGTTGTAATGTATGTTGTGTACAAGTTTCTATAATAGGACTCATCCAAAAACAAAGTTCAGAGTCCTGTTCTGTACAAGTTTTGTATAATTTATTTCAATATATTTTCTTTTAATACAACATTGAGCTTCTATTTCATTCTTGGATGAATTTTACATGCAATACTCTCTTGGATGTATTTTTCATTTTAAGTTTAATAACAAAAAATTGAGTCATTTGTAACTGTCCAGCAGGCAATTGAAATTCCTCAAAATGAAATCCCTCAATAAATGGTTTGTGTTTAGATCATGATTTGATTTGTGTTTAGTTTAGATCATGGTTTATGAAACTCTTGGCATTTTTTTTGTACATTGGTTTAGCTTAGAACTTTAGATCATGGTTTGTGTTAAATATTTCTTTTCAACATATTATGGTGGAAATAAGCGATGATCTAAAGGTTATTTTAACCACCTTTGGCAAATGGACCATAGATTAGGATTCCAGATGCTATAATTTAAACAAAGGTAAGCAATTATTTTTAGATGAAAATGGTATTGAAAACAGGAGATACAGATTGGGAGACAATTCCACCAATTTCAATAGCATAAAAGTATGATTTGGAAGGTATCAATAGCATACAGATTGGGAGACGACTCCCCCATTTCAATAGCAACTGGAAGTCAAAAAAAATCTTTCTTCATCTTCATATAAACTTAAAATAATACATAGTCAATACTACAAGCTCAGTATTATATTTGAATGCTTCTAAATTACAAGCTACTACTATACAGTCTGCCCTAGATCTTACACTTTTGCATATACCAGAATATAGAGGCAGCGAAAGCCGAATGTGCAAGGCAGCTCGTGCTTCTTCCTTCTCATCATGTTAGTATCTTGCCAGAGAAATAACACTCATGCAAGTGGCAGTTCTATACTCAGATATATTTAGTAAAAGGAAAGTTTTCGCAATAATGTCATCTAAAAGTGCCATGCTGGCCAATACTAGTGCAAGTACGAGATTATCCACATAAATCCAATCTTGTTTCAGATTCGCTTCACCAATTTTGAAAGGCACCAAAACTAACTTTGCTTGAAATTGCCTCTCTTCACCAGGCCCATAGACAGCAGCAGGACGAACTGCACATGTATGTAGAAGTTGACCATTTTTTTCCCTGCACAGCACAAAATCTCATTTTAGAACAAAAACAGATGCCCAATCCACAGACCAACTCTTCATTTTGTAACACAAATTTTTAACAAAAATTCGAGACAAATTCTTAGACTTTGATTTATTGTAATCCAACGGAGTTGGATGACAATCATAAATATTGACATATCAAATTAAACAAAAATGTTGAAATATTCAGTATAGAATTCCCCTTTTAGTCATAGACAATGCATCTGAAAACCAGCCCCCTAGGAAACTTTTCAAGAAAAATTCTTCTATAATACTTGCCTCTTTTGCAAATTCCACAATGATACGGCTTCCATCAACATCACGACCATTTAAGCTATATCTTGCATCATCAGCATCTCGAGGGTCACTAAATTCCTGTTATCACAAATGTTGAAAAGGAAGTGTACGACAAGATCATATTTGCAAGACACATAATAAATAATAAAGATTGAGTATGCGTGACTGTGTGTGCTCATGTGCAAGAGAGAGGGAAGAGATGGAACAAGGTAAGGATATACGTACAACAAAGGCAAAGTCACGCTTCATATCCACATCGCGAATTCTGCGTAAACAGGTGCCAGAAACAGTAAGGCCATCATGACACAAGTATCGATGGGTTGATACTTCGCCCCTCACAGATGAACTAAACACCACTTTGAGATTCTTGCCATTTCCATAAAAACACGCAATAACACTATAGAAAGACTCGCCAAATCCACCAAGGTCAACCTCTCACCATAGACCTCCAGGTTAGGCAAAAGCCCAGAAACCTTCAACAAGATCATTCAAGTTAAACCACACAAGACACGTGGAGGGGTGCAACTTTCTCACATATCTATTGAAATGTATATTCAATGTCAAGCACTTAAAAAGGGCTTGGCCAAAGGCTTAATTGCCTTCTATACACGTGTCTTAAAATATATATTTCCATGAAAACAGAGTTAGGAGAATCCATTTGTTCATATATTTTTTGCAATGCAAATAGGACACAAATGAAAACCAAACACAATATCAGACAATATAAAATCAAATAACTACCTGCAGCAATGCTATCTATTATTGTCTCCATGTATGAGGTTCAATGCTTCATTTCTTTTTAATTAAACCAGAGAACAACTTTCTGAGTATTTTCTTATTTTCTGATTCGAGATATTATGTGTGATCTCAAAAGAGCTAAAAAAAATGAGGAACTCAGAGATGGGAAGAAAATCTGAAACTTGATATATTACAAACATCACTACATACACTTGTTTGAACAAATAAAATTATGATACATAGGTAAACAGTTCAAAGCTATTTATAATTGTAAACATAAGATGCTGAATCAAGCTACAGGAATACATACTTCTACCTTTGTGAATGATTTGGCCGAAACTCCATGAGAGTTGCATATATGTTTGAAATACAAATTAGCTCAACTATTATGACCAACTTGAGGATTGTAATAACCAAAACCAAGAGATTTAAATTTGAACTTTAGAGAAGTTACTATGTACATTAAAACAGGATTGCAACTGAACGTTAATGCTTAACATGCAGAGAAGAAGTAAAATGTATGGTTCCTTCTGTCAGTTGGAAGGATTAGAGTTTAAAATACAGACATTTCAATTGAAATTGATTTTTTTTTATGCTTGAAAACTTACCAACTTTTCTTTTATTCCATTCAAGCTTCTCCTAGTACATATAAATGCAATAAATAAAGAAAAAGAAGGAGAAACTAAGAATAGATTGGGTTTTTAACAGTTCAAATACTTTTATTTTTTAAATTCATATAAATCAATCAGATTGTTAATTTAAGGTTTAAATAAAACCAAGTAAGTATTTCATGACAAATTTTCCTACTAATTAATTGAAGAAGAAGACATAGATGGATTAATCATACCTAATTTTTGGTTGATTTGATAATCTCTCCATCAAGTTCAATCTTGGGGATAAGAGCAATCTTGGGCCAATCTTCACCTGTTTCTGGTTTGCATCTTTCACTCAGTTTAGGACAATTTTCAATTTGTAATTCTCTCAAATTAATCAGACAATTAAAATCCTTGGGCAAAGATGAAAATTCTAGACAATAGAGAATATGAACATCTTGAAGTGATTTGAGATCCTGCATTGACTCTGGTAACGCCTTGAAGGTGGAACAATCTTCAATATTCAAACTCTGCAAAGTGTTTGCTGAACCTTGAAGAAGCCACTGTGGCAATTCCTCCAACCGTGGTAATTTTTTAATAAAAAGCACTCGAAGGTGAGCCCTTGGGATACTGAGGTCTTGATGGTTGTCTTCCCCTTTTGTTCCCATGCTCCAATCAAGATTAAGCTTTTCACAATCATCCAATATCAAAGTCTCTAATGAGTTTAGGTATTTTATACCATGTGGTAATGAGATTAGATTCGGGCAACTTGCAATGTATAATGATCTAAAGACTTTTAGATAACCAATATCTTCAAATAAATATTCTAAATTCGTACACCCGTAAATTCCCAAAAACTGAAGAGATTTTAAGCACCCAACTCCATTCTTTGACAGAAACCTCTGTTTTGTGGTTAAAATAAGTACTTGGAGGTTAGTTAGGTACCTAATGTCTTTTGGCAACTCTTCTAATTCTTCACAATCAAAAAGCGATAGAGACTGCAAATGTTGAAGCTTGCAAATGGAATCAGGGAGTTTTCTTATTTTAGAATTTGATAGATCGAGATATCTTAAATGCCTCAAATCACCAATTCTTTTGGGCAATACGTCAATTCCAAGCTTATTTAATCTAATCACCCGTAAGAACTTGAACCTTGAAATGCACGATTCAATGAATTCTTGGCTAGCTCCCTTTCCTTCAATTCCTTCAATTGGAAAATAATTAATGGATCTCAATTGACCTATATTGGATAAGAAGTTTGGAAGATTTATTTTGTGTGTATCAACATCAATCAAAGACAAATGTCGGATTCTTTTGGTAAAACATTGGTCACTTGAGTTCAATATTAAGCAATCGTTTTTCATCAATGACATGGCAAGATCATGCATCAGATCATGCATTTTAAATTTATAAAAAATCAAAATTTGTTCAAAATCTTGGAAGAAAGATCTTGACGCTAATTCCTTTAAGTACTGGATGCCAACACTTATTGGATCTTGATTCTCGGTAGAAGATTGAAGCAGCCCATGGGCCATCCAGAATAGAATTAATTGCATATTCCAAAACTCAAAATCTTTTGGAAACATGCAACAATAGGCAAAACATGGTTTCAAGTAAGATGGCAATTGATCATAACTTAATCTTAAAGCAGGTAAAATGTCATCTTTCTTTTGATCTAAATTCCAAATCTCATTATCCCTCACATATGTCCAATCATGTTCATCAGTTGAGGAATATAGTAGGCTTCCTAATGTTGTCACTGCTAAAGGAATTCCGCCACATTTTTTCACAATTTCTTCTCCAATTTTAATCAGGTTAGGATGTTGTTTCTCCTGCCCTTCCTTAAATGCACATTTCAATAACAAAGACAAGCAGCTTTCATTGGAAAGACCTGCTAGGTTGTACCCATTAACATCTCTCATTGTGCCCATAATTGAGGCAACACGATCGCTACGTGTGGTCACTAAGACTACACTCCCATTACCACTTTCTGACAAAATATTTTTCAATTCAATCCATGATCTACGATCTTCATTCCAAATATCATCCATAACCAGTAAGTATCTCTTACCATTCAAAGTCTCTCTCAACATCTTCTGCAATTCCTCCGTATCCAACTCATTACGATTTTGACCAGTTACAGACTTGATTATTTTCATCATTAATTGTTTCAAACCAAAATCGTCCGAGACACACATCCACGTTCTTGAATCAAAATGATTACGTATCCTATCATCATTGTAGGCCAATTTTGCAAGAGTGGTTTTTCCAAGTCCTCCAATGCCCACAATAGGAATGACAGACAAGTTTTCACCATCATTTGAGTGGTCTATTATTAGCTTTATGATCTCTTCTAAATGATCATCTCTACCAATAACATCTGAAGCAACTACAAAGGAATGTGTCATTTCCCTTCCTCTATTCACAACACGCCTATTATCATCTCGTTCAGGGAGATGAAATTTAGTCTTAATAGCTGCAATCTCATCAAACCGCTTTCTAATTTCTTTTGTTTTACGTGCCATCTTGTAACGAATAGCAAGTGGATTTGAGGATGATACCAAGTAGCGTACCTTTTTTCCAATGCTCTGCTGATCAAGAACTTGCTTCCGAACAACTTCAACCTCGAACTCATCCAGAACATCTTCAGCATCGTAACAGGCATCGGTGAGCTTTTGCAGCCAATCTCTTAGCTGGTGACTCTGAGCTTGCTTCTCCTCAGCATCTAAAAGCACAGCTTTCACAGAGGACAATGTCTCCTGGAGTTTTTTCAGCTCATCTTTCATACCCCATACAGATGATATTTGTTGATAAACACGTGTTCCTAACTTTTCAACGAGGCCAACTATCAGCGATTCAGCCATGGAAGATTCCGAAAGTAAAGACAAGGGGGTTTCTTCAATCAATGCAATTATGCTAGTGCAGATCTATATTGAATTATTCATGAATGCTGAATATAAGTTGTGTAGTGGTTTCATTAATCACCGGTTGGTGAAGTCAACTCAAGCAGGACGACTAGATGCTCTCCATATAACCGTTGGATTGTTTTGGTTGGACATGAGTAGATTTGTTATCTTCATTATTTGTTTAAGTGGAAGACTCCTTTTGTCTTTCTCTGACTACAAAAAAATTTCCTCTCCTTTCCTTTTTAATTAGTTATTTCATTTCATTATTTTATCTTTTATCTTTTTTTTTTTTTTTTTTTTTTGGAATAAAATCACGTCTTTTAAATGTTAAAAATCCGAGAATATTATAATTATATTTTTCGTATATTACAGGGAAGAGTATTTGCACCAAGATTTCAAATGTGATTATTTGGCATAATTTTCCCTCAAATACCCAACTAAGCTAGTATTAATATCTACACATGTCACTGATTTAATATTATATTATGATTTTACAGTCTTACGGCTATATAACTACTATTTTCTAATTAACCATTTAATAAATAACTTATAAGTTTTAACTATGGATTAGATTATTATAACACAAAATTTAGATCAAATGTAATCTAATGAACAAGAAAAAAACAAAAGTTGGAGATATTATTTTTTAAGTTAACTCAACATGCAACCTCTAAATCTTTTAATCGCATTAGATTAATAGTTATAAATAAAATGGCCTGACGGAAATGTTGTTAATCTTTATGTCTTCCTAGTATCAATATTTGAAATTACTAAAATGGGTTATTTAATTAGGCTTAATTGGCTATGAGTTGGACTCATATGGGCAAACTTTATGTGGGCTTAGATTGCATTGTGATTAGTAGCCCAACAAAAACAGTGGCCTCCATGTGGGTGAAACCACTCAAGATGAAACACATATTCATATGTGGATGATATGTCTCGTTTCTAAGGTTTAGGCCTTCAAGATGGTCTAATCTATTAAAATTATAAGATATATCTTCCGAAGTATGTTATTTTCTCTATAATATTTTTTTTTTTAAATTAACAGTATCTTTATATAAAAAAATGAAAAAAGAAAAGTGCTCCGTTTGGTTGGTTTTTGGGAATACTATTATTAGTATTCCCAAAAAAGTAAAACAGTAAAATATCCAAAAACTCACAATATTATTCAACTTTTTTTAAACCCCCTAAATTTTTTAATTTAATTAAATACCCCTAAATATTTTTTTAAAAATTGCAAAAACACCCCAGCAATCCACATTTACCATATTCCAGCCACCACTGTAGGAAAATGGCCGGAATCTGGTAGGATGGCGCACTACCGGCTGAATCTGGCCGGTAATACGCCGATCTAGCCTTTTCCGGCTAGATCCATGATAGATCTGGCTGGAAAATGTCAGATCTAAGGCCAAAGATTTGGCCGTAACCAGTCGGTAACGACGGCCAACAATCAGTTGTTGTTGACCATCAACAACGACCGTTTGTTGGCCGTCATTGACGAGCAAATACGGCCAGATCTGGTCGTCAATGGCCAGATCTAGTCGTAGATCTAGCCTTTGCCAGCCAGATCCATCGTTGATCTTGTCGAAAAAGCCATATCGGCGCACGACTGGCAAGATCCAGTCAGTCATGCGCCGATACGGTGACTCCGGCCACCCTCCGATGGTGATGGCTAGCTGTGCGTATTTGAGGGTGGGTTGGGGGTGTTTTTGTTAACTTTTAATGTTTTATTATAGGGGTGTTTTGTAAATAAACAAATATAGGGGGTATTTTATAATTTGTAAATCCTACATCGTAATACTCGCCCAATTCAACTTTTTTTTAACTTTTTTCAAAAAACTTTTCCCAAAAACACAAAAATGTGAACCAAACGGAGCCAAGGTTTTTTTTTTTTTTTTGTTTTTTTTCAGGTTTGTATTCCAACTTTTGTACTCCAAGTAACATATAATTATTAATTAATCTGAAGTCAATATATGCATGATAAAATAATACAATGAATGATATATAATCTTGGGCTAGTTTTTGAGAGTGTTCTCAAGTTTAAAAAAATTATCTGGCAAAAGCTAAGTTTGAGGATGGTCATAAGAAAAATCACCTTTTAAGGTTTTGAAAATTAATCAAAAGCATCACTAGGAGTTGACACTATTTCATTCCTTAACAAACTTATATAAAATAACTATTTTTCCCCCACTTTATTCGTGCAATAAATTATACTTAGTAATAATGATTAAAGCTATTTTCATCCCTGAAGTATCCAAAATCATGTTCCAAAACTATCACATATTACACAAACACATCCCTTGCAATTAGGGTCGTTCAAAATTTCCCACTAACCAAATCGGATCCAGTTCTATATAAAATTGAAAAATAAAAACACTTTTTTTCAAAAACCCTAAATCAATTAAACCTAAAATCTAGTTCTCTACTAAACCAAATCTCATATTCTCGACTTCTCCTTCTCATAGTCGTCCGTTCTTATTGCTCCAGTCAGCAACCGCTCGTCACTCGCTAGTCCTTCCGCCATTCGTCGTTACCGCATTACAAATGACGACAGTCGCTCCTCACCTCATTACCTCAATCCTCCTTCAATCACTATTCGCTTAGGTAACTATTTTAATTAATGTTTGGCACATTGGCTGTTTGCTTAGTTGAAAGTAGAAGGGTTGGTTGTTTGCTTGTATGGAAATTCGTAAATTCATGTATGGTGCTAGGTTTGGGACAAGGTTGAAATCTAAAACTCTTGGTAGATTTTTATTTGGGTTTGCATTCCTTGTCATGAACCATCTATCAAGCCTGTTTGCATAGATAAATTATGTGTGAACAATGTGGGGGTCATAAACCACCTGGGTCTCTATCACGCCCAGGCCTGCATCTTCTATCACAAAGGCCCAAGGGCGCGGTCCAACTCTGGTTGGGTCACACCAGATTTCATGACTTAGGCCCAAGTCCAGCAACCTTCCAGAATGGGCTTCGACGATAGCCCAAAAAAGGCCAAGCCTCCGAAACAAGGTATGTAGGATTCTTCCTCTTCAGTTATATCTTGATCCATCTAAGATTCTGTATCTTGGATGAATTAGGACTTTTCCTGCTAATGACGCAAGTTAATCAAGGTCTTCCTTATTCGCTAGATCTCCTCCTATGTGGATTCCGAATCCTACTGGGATACGAACATCCCACAACTACTATATAAACAGGGGTCATCCCACTGTTTAGGCATTGAACATTACACATCCTGACCCTATAGTTCTCACTCTTGAGAGCTATACTCCAACTTCATGGTTTCAGTTCCCTACTAAGCTACTGGTAATCCTTCCTTTCCCTTAACCCCCATTAAAAAGCCTTCATTATCTTTACTGACTTAAGTGTCAAAGTGCCTACAGCAAACACCACCCTGGTGTTTCCGTTAGCTTCACGTGGGTTCCTTTGTGTGTGTGTAGGTGTAGCAGATTGTCAGTGGCCTCAACCTCAAGGGATTAGATCCTACTTCAGCAACCGTAGATTTTGTCGTCTATAGTTTGGCGCCCACTGTGGGGCCTCTGGCAATCAACATTCCCTCAACACTTTGCTCCACAAGGGAATCAATCATGACTAAGACAACAGACAATGCTTCCATAAATCTCTCGGCAAAAATCGAGGCTTTAACAGCCATGATACAGCAAAAGTCAAATAAGGTGGCAGCACTGGAGGCCGAGAACGCAAACATCCAGGATAAAAGTCAAACTCTATGAGAGTAGGTAAACCAGTTCTATTTGCTTGACTTCACTCATGATCAGGTGCTTAGGAATCGCTTTTGCATCTCGGTAAGCTCCATGCAAAATCTATCAACCCCTGACCCCAGAAGCTCAAATAGAAATCCACAATCATCCCACGTCCAGTCGTCCTTAACGGATGGCTCAACCTTAAACACAACTGATCCATCCTTACAAACACCCCTCCCAACTAATCCACCACTCACACTCGACCCCATTACCGAGACAATCCCAAACTAGTAGTTGCAAACATCAACCACCGTCAGTAATCCTACTCAATCTACCATGACTGATAACTTGTATCCGCGAACCCTACTAGGCTTGGCTCTCCCTCATGGGTCGATTGGACAGGCTCAACCCGAAAGGGCAATTGAGTATCCCAGCCCCCAGCCGATCTACCATGGAACACATCCCTAGTCCACACGCAATTACATGACTTATTCGGGAGGACCGACTGGATCATAGGCACAAAATCAGAGTGTTGACGCTCAACTATTAGCCATGAGCGCCCCTCTCGAGCAAGTATTAGCGAAGAAATTGGCGAATATGAAGGCCTTGATGAGGCGTATACCGAAAGTGTCCATCCCTACAAAGAAGAGCCTACCCTACAACTACGTAGATTCGCCCTTTGTGGATTCAATAGTCCTAGCCGAGATGCCACCTAAGTTCATAATTCCCAACATGAAGCCATATGATGGGATAACTGACCCAGACGATCACATACCTTCGTATAAACAGCGAATGTTCACTACCCCCATACCAAGGCATCTTAGGGAAGCCTACATGTGCAAGAGCTTTGGTTCCAGCCTCTCGAGACCAACCTTATAGCGGTACTCTAATCTCCTTAACAACACCATAAGTTCCTTTGCCTAACTGGTCGACACCTTTGTTGAATAATTTATCAACAGCAAGAAGCTAGAGAAGTTGTCTATCGATTTGTACTGGGTGTACCAAAAGAGGGGCAAGCCATTGCGAGCATATGTTAGCCGCTTCAATAAGGAGAATATCTCAATCCCTTCTTGCAACCCCAAGACTACAGTAGATGCATTTAGGAAAGAGCTCATTCCTGATGGTAAACTATACAAGAACCTCACCAAGCTGTCTTTTATACATACTTACCTTATCCAAAAAAACCTCACCAAGCTTGTGCTGTAATCCAAATTAGATGGGAAGATAAAGCCAACCGAATGCGGCATAACCGCTATGATG